CAATAATTACTTTATTGCTACAACATTGTATGTCAAAGTTGGACGTAAAAAAACTGTATTCTTTAAAAAACGCCTCAAAAGACCTATTGTGGAAATGTTTTTTAATTGTATAAATTTTAGAAGATATTTTTGTCCCGAAAAGTACACATGATTCTATACAACACTGCTTTGGACTTTTGTAAACAGTATAATAACACAAAATCTTATAAATATTAAATACAAAAAATTGTTACGTTTAGTGTAAATAAATAGTGTGCGTGAAATGATAAATAAATAGTGTATGTATTCCAATATTGTTCTGAACTTATTTACGCACACTATTTATTCATATTAGGCTTCTAAACGCATTTCTGAGAGCTCTATATTGTTCTTTATGTTGTTCCGAAAACGGGACGCAGTTGGTTTTCTACGTACAAACTGCACAACTTTATATATTAAGCGAATATTACTACAATCTGACGCCAAAAGTTGTAACCTCAGTCAGTAAATCGACGGAGTTCGATCGTCAGTTTAGGATCCCTTTAATGTTAAAGAGCTAATGTTCGTACCTCTCTTTTTTTTCGTACATTATATACGATCGATTATTTCATTTCAGAAAAAGCTCAAAGTAATACTTACTAATTCAATACTGTTAATGTAAAATTCTACTTAAGTGCCATCACCGTGATGAATGGGACAATTATATAATAACATTCATTGACTTATAAGTTGAAACTTAGTAGTTATAGCGAATAGCAAGTGTTGCCATCATAAAGGACACTATGGAAAGACTTATGCATCCTTATTTCGTTGTCACTTTCTTTACGGGGTGTGGAATTTACATACATCCAAAAAATCATCAAAAACTTTGTTTGAGTGTTATATATATATTAATTGTGTGGATTGTTAATCTTTGGGCGGTCTGTATTTTACTGCTGACGTTCCCATCATCAGGAGGAATTGCTAGGAATTTAAATTCTATAAGAATAGGAATAAATTACTTGCTAGCATTATTATCAATATTTATCACATTCTTCGAACACAAGGTATTTATAGATATAGTTGTACATTTTTTTATTTTGACATATCTATGATTCTAATTGTTTTATATGTAATGCAAAAATAAATTCTATTTTCCAATGTTCTTGTGCATAAAAGTTTTAAGCAAAACTAAACTCCTCCTTTAAGTGTGTGTACGTGTTTGAGCGTTACAATGTCCGCACTAGAACTACAACAATAGAATTTTTTTTTTCATCTACTATTGTTTTGATATTTTCTGTTACTAATTATTTTTACGTATTAAAATTCTTTTATAAAATACTAATTATAATATCAAAATATTACGTCAAATGTACAAATTTTTACTATAGCGTATACATGTAGTTATTTAAAACATAAACAAAATTGCTGATACTGTATTAAAAACTTACCACTCTATAAAAAATCAAACGCACGCAAGTTTCATGGATTTTACTTTAAAAATAAAATATATCTTGCTTTTATAATTATCTTTACCTATTTCATTTATAGAAATTTCGACAGTGCTTAAGAAAACTCGATCTTGTAAATGACACATTATTAGAACTCGGAATATCTAAAGAATATGATAAAGAACGTACACTGATAAAATGGTCATTGATTTTGTGGTTTATGATAGTATGTCTGATAAATATTCTTGACACTGTACTGTGCGTAACGCAATACAATATGAAAGTTGTTACAGCAATTATTATACCTTGGATTATAAATTACTATTTACATATGAATACTTTACACGATTTGACGATTATGTTTATGTTAAGGTAATGTATTATTGTTACTGTACACGATAACAGAAGTCTGAATAAAACAAATTAAGTTGTTGGCTATTTTGTTATAAAAAAGAATGTATTAAATTAGCTGTTTTTATTTTTTACTATCACAGATATATCGGTAATAGATTGGATANAATAAACAACTGTATTGTGCAATTCTCAAAAAATGAAGACTGTGAATTAAGATGCACGTGGAAAAACTCTGTTATTGTCAGTCGTCGCTATNATCAAAACACAGACTATCGCAAACATGTGTTGTGGACTGCAATGTATATAATTACCTTAAAAACACGTAACAAATTGAAGAAATTAGTTGTACAAAAATAAGTTTTGACGCAAATAAAAACTATTGCTTTTTACTTATACAATTATAAAAATGAATTCTTTTGCATAAAAAATGAATTCTTAATCATGTTATAATAGTAGTTATATAAAATATAATAGTATTTATATAAAATAGTAGTTACATATAAATGTTTTTTGTTATTAGGCATGTTCATTTAGAACTTTGTTGGACAGCTCGTAATATTAATGTTTTCTATGGAAAGCAACTGACTGTGCAAATGACATCCTATTTTATCTTCTTTTTAGAAGTATTATATTTTCAATATCGTTCCCTTTTATGTCTTATTCACATATATGAAAACGGAGAAGCAAAATTGATACTTATGTGTTTAACTGAAATGTGGACCATTTACTTTTTAATTAAATTTGTAACATTAAATCATATCTGTGAGAGTGTTAGTGCCAAGGTAAAGACTTTCTGTAAATTATTCGAAGATGTATCTCTACTTTTGTTATTTGTTATTCAAGTTCATTTTTTTCTTTATTTTTCATTTTCTATTGTTTTTTTTCTAAAATACATTTATTTTTGGTACAAATCTAGCTATTATTGCTATAATACAAATCTTTTGTATTATAGCAATAATACAAAATCAAAAACAAATTATGAGCAGAATACTCCAAAACATTTTTTAAATTTGTTTTAAATGACATTTATATAACAATGTTGAAGAACAAAATGTAATACATGTCTGCAAAACTACATGTATTATTGTTTCACGTACAATTATACAACTGATTTTAAGTAAAACAAAGTAAATAAAAACTGCAAAACTCTTGTTTTTACAATAGTTTTTACATTATTTTAGGCAGAAAAAACCAGAACCGTGATTCGTAATTTGACAAATCTTCTTTCTTTTGCGGATATGCATAATATGGTAATATAAATTTAAACTTTACTTTTGTAAATACCTTGTAGTCTTTTCTTGTAGACCTCTGTTTTATAACAAAATATGCGTTATAATACAGATATATCAGTTTGGTCTGCAAATATTGCTTCACCCACTGAAGTTCACCGGAATGGGTTTATTTTATTTTGGCTACAAATTTATCCGTTCGGTTAGTGTTCAATACCTTT